TTTGTTAAGTTTCATTTTGTTGTTATGTTAATTGTTAGGTTAATTTGAATGTTAACGTAAATATTAAAAAATTAATTTTTTTTTAATTTTAGTTGTTAGATTAAAATTTAATTATTTAATCTTAAATTGTTATTTTAGTTAAGCGAATTAATTATATATTTATTTATTTTTAGTGTTCGGTTAATTTAGTTAGTTGTTTGTTTAAGCTTAATTTTGAAATTATATAATTTTTTTATGTAGTTTAGTTAAATTTGGTTGAAATTATATAATTTTTGACATAGTGTAGTCATTTCAAATATAAATTTTATAAGTAATTTTATTATTTTAATTATTAAAATTGAAATACGATAACATGCATAATGATTTGATCGTTCCTTCCACTCGGCTTCCAGTTCACCCTCTAGTTAAGCCCTCCATATAGTATGAAGATGAGGATATGAGATTAGACGAGCAAGATGAGTGAGATAATATTCAATCACTTTGTTTGTTTTGTTGTTTTTTATTAAACGTATTCTAAAATGATTTTGTTAATATTATTGTATTTTTCATATATACATGATTACTTATAATTATTTATTATTAAATATTAATTATTAAATATCATATTAATAGTTTAATTTTGAAAAATGTAAACAAAGCAACGAAATTGTGAAAAAAATATTTTTGAAATTAGTGACTGAATAGCGATGGATTGGTGACAATTTCATTTTTCAAAATTAGCGACGTAATAACGACGGATTCATTTTCAAAATTAGCAATGGACTAGCGACGGATTTATTTTTAAAAATTAGCGATGGATTTATTTTTAAAATTAGCCACGGATTAGTAACGGATTTATTTTAAAAATTAACGACGGAATAGCAATGGATTAGCTATGAAAAAAAGAGCGATCCTACGACGAGATTAGCAACCGATTTTTTTTTTTTTGTTTAGCGACGGATTGTCCGTCGATAAATTTAGCAACGAAATGAGTATTCCGTCGTAAAAATTTAGCTACCGACAAAATAGTGACGGAATATGTCCGTTGCTATTCCGTTACTATGCACGATTAGCGATGGAATTGGAGTGTTTAGCGATGGAATATTCCGTCGCTAAACTCAATTTTTTTTGTAGTGAATGAGATCTAACAAGTAACATATTGCTTATGATTTCCCTAACTAAAATGTAATTAGTCTAGCGAAAGAGCCGAGGGGGTTAAGGAAGAAGTTGATGATTCAACCATGGTAGAAGATTGACTAAGACATAACACCTTTTGCATTCAATGCACATATCTAGCAAGATATGTGACTTGATAATCGATGGAGGAAGTTATAAGAACGTGGTATCGACGAAGATGGTGAAGAAACTCAACTTACTAATTGTTAATTATCTTAATCCTTACAAAGTAGCTTGGTTGAAGAGAGATAATGACATTATGGTGAGAAAGAGGTGGGGGAAAAATATCAATATGAAGTGTGGTGTAACGTGATTTCTATGAATATATGCCATATTTTGTTGAAGAGACCATATAATACGATATGCGAGTTATGTATGATGGGTTCAAGAACACATTCGCTTGATCTAAAAGGAGAAAAGATTGTGCAAATGCATATAAAGAATGAGTTTTTGGTCAAAAATAGTCGAGAGGAGTTAGTTTACGAATCTATGTTCATTAGAGCAGCGGACGGTGCCAAAACTGAAGTTGATAATGTTGTCTTTAACTGTGTCAAAATTATCAAAAAAAAAAAAAAAAATCAAGCAAAGGAGATGTTGTGAACAAACACAAGGCTTTTGTAAAGTTATCCAAGTTATTCCCATATGATGTTGTTACTCAAACACAAGGAGAGCTTGTTGATTATGAGGATGAGAAGCATAATGTTTTGGATCAAACGTCATTATCCAAAAACATGGGAGCTGCATCAGTTCTGAATTTGCAAAGAACGACAGTAATAGCATCTAGCATGATAGTAATAATATTGCCTTACGAAAGCCAAGAACTGCTAGAGAAAGGAACATAAGTTTTTGCTGGCAACAAAACCATCTTGGTTGGACATGAGTCCAACATTCTTTTGAACCAAGCAAATAATTAAAGTAGAGAAGAGATAAAGGCGATGCAATACTGCATCCAACCTTTGAGATATGATTTGGCACACACAAGAAATCTCGAGTTCTTTGCATGCCCAGTCCTGATCATTCCTTACGTGTAGTTGTTGCATCACAACCATTTTTATCTTCAAGAAAGGACAAACTTACATGTCTAGATGCTGGCAGCAATTTACTTAGTGCAAAAAGAAAAAACCCAAACAATTATTTGTTCAGACTGTACTTTGTTTTCAAAAGACGCGTTCAAACATCAATTTGCAGACAACAAACAAATGGTAGTGGAGAGACAAGCAGTTGATTCAATCATGAAAGTTGCCAACAAAGAGTATAATTCAACCAGCATTGATTTGAGCAAAACAGATAAGAGAGGGCTTTCTATTCAACGGTGTTGAAGCAACAGAGAAAGAAAGGGAAATAGGCAGTTGACGCCTTTGGAGATATGCGATCAAGAAGGAGTTCTTTCTTCTATCATGATACAACCATTAAATATGTTTCTAGGAGACATGATGAACGTGTTCTGTGTGCTTTTTTCAAAGGGTTAGAACACAAACATTACAAGAAGAACTCAAATTCTGATATGATGTAAGTTCAACGTGATTCAGTTGCAACCAACACGTGAACTTGGAGGAAAAGGGGCTGAAGAGTTTGATTGCACATTTATGAGATCGAGGAAAAAAATGGTTCAAACTCAAGAATGAGTTTTCGTCAATCTAGAACCATTGACACAAGAATGTAGTCCGTTCCAACTTGGTCATTCTAATTGGGCCAAATTTCTTTATTTAATTAGTGAGGGCTAAATTTCTATTTATGTATTTGCTTTATTACTTACTTTTCTTATTTGATTTTTGACTTTTATATTAATCATGATTGTTACTTAGAATCCATATTTATTTAGGATTGGACTAGAATTCATTAGTCATAATTGAATGTAAATTGGATTTAGGTTTTCTAGTTTGATTGGGCTAAAATTTTTGTAGTACAAATTAGACAAGTTTTATTTAGTTTAGCCAATTTTTAGACTAATAGTTAAAACATTCTTATGCCACGTAGAAAAACAATTTTTAAACTTTGAATATTGAGTGATAAAATTCTTGAGACATTCTCAAAAATTATCTTAAATATTCTTGTGATTTGTTTAGGGTTTATATGTGTTATCCTTGTACTTGTTTAGTATTTTGTTTTTTCTCTCTCTCTTTTTTTTTTTTTTTTTTTTTAAGTTCTTGATTAATTGATCACTCAAGATGATGTTATTGAACATCATTATTTAGCTAATCAGATTGTAATAGGATTCGAAATCTCAGGGATTTTTATTGTTTGAAAAGTTTCGGCCTAACCAAACTTAGGGCTAGAATTTTCAGAATTCATCTAAGCTTAAGAAAGAGATTTCAGCTTCCTTGAATATTGAAGGTGCAAGTTTCAGGTAGCCATAAATAAAAGGTAGGACAAGTTAATTTTGTCTATAAAGGTTAGACAATTCGATTTCGTCTAATTAATTTTTCACAAAACTGGTGTCACACAGGTTTCTAAAGAATCTACAATAGTACTGCTTGACGGATTGAATTTTAAATATTAAAAATATAAATATATTCTTTCACCTCTTCCAAAGAAAGAAGATATTTATATTGGTAATTTGTAATCGTGACTTATTTCTAGCGTTTCTCTTATGTCAACACCAAGGTCCTTCCCAGAAACATGATGTCGAAAACTTAGTTCTTGAGTTTCTAAAAGAGGTTATTTGGAGTTGTCATTATTATTGTTTGATTCTTCAGAAGCAACTTGCACTATTGTTTGGGTCTGATGAAGTAGAAAAGTTAGATCTCTATTTTGACAACAATTGTCATAAATGCATCATGCATCTTCCATGAAGTCAAAATGCAGCTGAAATATCATTCAACTCTAATTGAAAATCAACCAGAGCTAGTTCTTCGATGATAAATACTGCAGTTACCAATCCATACGGATCGAAGATTTGATGCAAGGGATAGGGTATAGCATGTGATGATTCCCCATCAGGACGAGAATAGTCGAGCTCTAATACCAGATGAGGCCGTTAATTTGAAGAAGATAAGAAAAGATGGAAATCGAGAAGAAAAAGATGAAAAACATAGCAGAGAGAGAGAGAGAGAGGAAAAATCAGAGAGCGTAAAAGATGGGAGAGGGAATTGGATTTTCATTACATTTCTCCTGTTGTTTACGGAGAAATTACATGACTGTTAACAATGCACATATTAAATTGAGAGCAAATTATAAATTAGTCCCTCTAATTGAAAAAAAAATTAATTAATCTCTTTCATTTAAAAAATTATTAATTAATTTTTTAAATTAATATTAAACATATTTAATTTAATAATATTTTTATTTTATAAAAATTCTTTTTTTCCGTCAATCTTCTCATATTTTTTTTATTTTTAAAAATAAAAAATTGAAATAAATTAAAAATAAGAAAAAAATTATAAATAAATTTAAAAATATGAAAATTAAATTATTATTTTATTAAAAAAAAACATTAATTTATGTATTTCTATGTACTAAGTATAGACCTACTAAAATCGTCTAAATGGACATGAAACTATAGGCCCAATAAAAGAGCAATAGAAATGGGCTTTCCACACTTGGTCCAATGTCTATGTTCTTACACGTAAAAGCAAACAGCTCATGCTTTCTTAGATGTCTATCCTTAATGCTAAATCGTGATGAGCCTAACCCTAAGAAAGCCCATAAAAAGGACAAAGTTCAAGTGTAATGTAGTCAGGACCTGAGTGTGGGCTTTTAGTCTTACAAAATATTTCAAAATTGAAAAATAATTGGATAATCCAAGAAAACAGCTAAAAAAAGGTTCACACGATTCAACTTCCAGTTGCTCTGCTTGCACTCCAAAAGATAATAACCAGAAGAAGAAGAAGAAGTTGATTGAAAAAATGGCAGTGTCTTCAATCACTGCAACATTAATCCCTTCTCTTACAATCTCAACTTCTCCTTCATTTCCTTGCAAAACAACAAAACTCTCTTCCTTTTCTTTTAACAACAATGCCTTCAGGACCACCCTTAAACCCACCCTTTCAACAACTAGGGTTTTTGCTGCTCCTGAGGTTTTGGATTCTCAAACCACTCTAGACACACTTCCACATACCATTGATGGACCTGACTCTGATAGCTTTCAGGTCTCTCTCTCTCTCTCTCTCTCTCTCTCTCCCCACTTTTAAAATCAAGTTTTCATTTTTGTCATTCAATTATGTAGATACTACAGGTACTTGTGTTCTTCTTATTTTTTCAATATTCTGTTCTGTTTCCCATATTGAGAAATTACATAGTTTTACTCAATTCACTTGTTAATTTTGGATCTTGAGTAGGTTGGAGGTTCTGAGACACCCAGTTCTCAGTCAGTCAGTATTGCTGCAGATGCAGATACGGTAATATATATTTCTATATGCCTTATCATTTTAGGTTTTTTTTTTTTTTTTTTTTTTTTTTTTTTCCTAACGAGGAAATTGCAGAATTAACATTGTCTCTGTTGGGGCATTCTTCCATTTACACTAGGACTCATTTTTGTTGTTGTATTAATATTTGAGGGTCCAAAATAATAGAATACTTGGAGATTTGATTTATTTCTATCTTCAATTCAGTGAATTAAAGGTAATTTAAGTGGCCCTTTTCATGATTCTATGTTTTCATAATCTTATTCGTTGCTCGTTTTCCATGTTGAAAAATTTACTAGTAAAACATTATTTGTGTAGATGATACGGAGTTTCTCTTGGCCGGTGTACATACTGTAGGGATTATTATGTATACTAAACAATGAATACTAAACTTTGGTATAGGTTGTTGTTTTCAAAAGACTTGAACTTTGCTCCAATGAACCCTTTCTTTGATATTCACGCTTCCAAATGAAACTGGTTGTTCAAATACCTATCAATATATATGCTTCTGGGGTCAATTGAATCCTGAATGACCCATATCTTATTTTTTATGATCTCATTTTTCCTTCCTGAACTGTGTAATCACTTTTTATATCCATGTGCATATAGTTAAATGCAGAGTTTTCATTATATCTTTATGTTGCTTATGTTTTTAGATGGCACCGAAGCAGAAAATTAGAATCAAGCTAAGATCTTTTTGGGTCAAATTGATCGAGGACTCCTGCAAGCAGATAATGGATGCTGCAAGGACCACCAATGCAAAGACCATGGGTCCTGTGCCATTACCAACCAAGAAGCGTATTTACTGTGTTCTTAAATCCCCCCATGTGCACAAAGATGCAAGGTTCCATTTTGAGATCCGAACCCACCAACGTCTTATAGATATTCTGTACCCAACTGCACAAACAATAGATTCATTGATGCAACTTGACCTTCCTGCTGGAGTTGATGTGGAGGTCAAGCTCTGAAGTTAGTGATTCTGCAGTTCGGTAAAGTTTATGACATTCTGCAGCTAGGTGAAGTTCATGACATTTTTTAGTTGCTCATATCATTGCTTTGCTATGACTTGGCTTTTCTCCATAAACTGATATCACAGAATCCAATTTTTCTGTGTATGTCTCTCACTTTTCTTTTCTTTTCTTTTCCCTCTTTTATTATTCTTATTGCACATGGTATGCAATGCTATCGCATATGAAGTATTTAACAATTTCATTTCACTCTCTCAATGTTTCCTGGATCTCTTAGATGATTACTAGTATAAATGGTGCATTGTTTATTTTAGCAAAAGAAAGATCATTAGTGGCAAGTATTAGGTAACAACACTCCAATGCATGTATCTGTTTCACGGTCTTTAGTTTAAAAATATTTTGATAATTAGATGCTAGGACAAAAACTTTCTAGCATTCTTATCTGCAATGCTTAGGACTTAACTATGTTAGCTTCTCAGCAATGAAAGCCTGAACCCTATAACTGGCAGCTTCTATTGTAAATCCCATCTTTTGTGCTTTGGTTTATGCTGTTACACTCTTGGTGGGGCAGTGCTTGAAATTGGAAAATAGCTGATGACCTCACTGCAATCATCATGCTTGCTTTGTAATTGTTGTTTTCATTTCATCTTCTCCACCACCATTCCTCTTCAGATAGCTAGTCTAACCTAATATTCTCATTGGTATTGTAGCTATGGTAACCTTAACATTTTGTTCTGAGGTGTCTCTCACAGCATATTATCTTTATTTTGATTCCTTGTTTTAATTTTTAAGAGTTCCCCATGCTTATGAAATGAACATTGTTATACTAGGTGCTGGATTTCTTCCTTAAAGACCAAGTTAAGAAAAGTTGCTGTTTCATTCAAGGCTGTGGAAGGTGATTGCATGCACAAGATTGTTAAGATTGTATGTCCATCCAATGACGGTTTCTTTTACCCCTTTCTTTTTTGGTTGGATGATTTTGTAAGCAATATCATGTATGAAAATTCACCACTGCTGACCAGATATTGGTAGTGAAACATAGGTGTATAGAGCTTTTCTGTCTGTTTTTCTTATGTTCTGTTCTATGTTTTCTTTTATGCAAACTTTACAGCTAACGAATCAATCCATCTCAATTTATTTTCCTCTTTGATTTAAGCTCTTATTGTCTCCTTGTACAGCGCATGTGGGCATTTCATTCAATTAGTTGTCTTTAATCTGCAAAGCATGCTAGGAATTACTTCTATTAGTAAACGTCTCTCTCTCTCTCTCTCTTGTTTCAGTACATTATTTCATTTTCTATTGGGTAAATTATTAGTGCATCTCTGAGATTTTAGTTAATTTTTAAAGCCTGTGCATAATAGTGCTTGTAGTTCTATGTTATTGTAAAACTTTAGTGCCTCCGTAGGTATTTATTTATTGAATTAAAACTATGGTTCTAAGGACTAGTCCTTAAGTTTTAGAAACTTGAAAAACTAAAACTTCACCTTGAGTTGGAGTTGAAGGGGCTTTGTATAATTTTGCTCGATTTAATTGCGAAAATTACATTTTTTTTATTGCAATTTGACAATTTCAATCTTTTATTATCAATTTGTGTGATTTGAACCAAAAATATCAGCTTTTTGACAAATATTATAAAAAAACAAACAAAAAATCGTTACTTACAATGGTCAGTTGACCGTTAATCACAATGGTTATATAACGTCATTCAAGTATTCTGTTGATCTATATATATTCATCCATGTTTCAAACAACCGAGTAAAAAAGAGATTTAATAGACCATCATGAATTATAGCTCTTACTAGTTCACCAATGCTTCCTTGGGTATTGTGCTTTGGTTCCAAGCCCGAGCAAGTGGCAACAATGGTTCATTGGTATCAGCACCAACAGCAGCAAAAAGAGAGAGAACTTGTTCCATTAGTCCAATAAAAAGAACTGAATTTGGCGGTTTCATTGCAATTTTGACTTTTAATTTATTGTGATTTGATAATTTTGAGTTCAAAATATCAAATTATATATTTTTGATATTAAAGCATTAGAGAGTGGACAAATTTAATCTAATTATCTTAATTGCCTTGTCCATTACTGTTGTCGTTTAACAAAAGAAGAAAAAAAAAGTGATTTTTAAAGTTGTGCTTGTAGTATGCCAAGAGCATCAATTTTATCCTTACTAGATCCCCCTCCTCCACTGCCGCTGCAGCCGCCTTCGCCACGGTCTCTTCATCTTTCTTTATTGCCTTACATCTCCAAACCTCTTCTTCTGCTACCACTGCCAAATTTTGTTTTCAGAAGACAAGCAAATTAAACCAAGTGGGCAAAAAAAAAAAACGTTTGAAAAAAAACTATCTAATGAAAGGAGAAGAAACGTACCTCTACTGAGAAGGAAGAGAAAGGAGCTCATGTTGATATTGCTGTCTGTCTTGTTTTTTGTAGAAGCAGCAAAAGCAGAAGAAGGAGAGCGCTTGAGGAAAGTAGAGGCGGTGCAAGATAGACACGACAGCAGCTTAGAATTCGAATACTGCTAGTAAAAACCCACATTTCATATGGAACCTAAACAAACAAGATTCGGAGGTGATTGTTTTGACATGCTTTATTGATGTTTGATTAGTTGGGTCTATTTACTATTAATATGATTAAATCAGTATCCTGCTACAATACTAAGAGAGAAGATTCTTACGAAATTAATATATACATGTATTTGAAGTACCACATAGAGACTGGACACTACAAGAAAGATATGTTTTAGCGACGGTCAAAAAACCGTTGCTAAAGATAAATATTAACAAGGATTTTACTGACTTTAGCAACGGTCTAAAAAATGGTTACAAATATTAAAATTTGCGACCGTTTTTTAACGGCGGTCTACAAAATCCATTGCTAATGTTACAAGCCAACCATTTTAGCGACGGTTTCAATTTATAAGAAACCGTTACAAATTTAGCAACGGTTTATGCCGTTGCTAAATCGTTCCTAAAACTTAGCAATGGTCAAAACCGTTGCTAAATGTTATTTAATATTTTTTTATAAAAAAACCGTTGCTAAATAAAATACAATTTAGCAACGGTCCCTAACTCGTCGCTAATCCGTTACTAAATGGGTGAGGTCTAAAACGGACCGAAGTTTAGCAACGGTTTGGTGTTGGTAAACCATTGCAAACATATTCATTTTAGCGACGGTCTTAGACGTTACAAAATCGGATCGATCGAAGATTAGCAACGGTTTTATATATTAAACCGTTGCAAAAAAAAATCGGTTTAGCGACGATCTCATTGTAATTTTATTTTTTATTTTTTTAACGGTTGCAAAAATAATCGTTGCAAACGTTAAATTAGTGACGGTCACGAGACCGTCGCTAATGCGTCGCTAAAAGTAAACCGTTGGTGGGAAACGAGTCAAATTTAATTTCAAATTTACTTTTAGCGACGGTCCGTGACGTCGCTAAAAACTTTACCTTGTTATAAATACCGATCGAACGGAATCTAGGCATTTTTTCTTTCTTCTCCTCTCTTCTTCTCCTCCCAGCCGACGATCCGTAGTTGTTTTTTCTCCAAAACCCCGCTCCCTTTCCTCAAAGCTTTTGTTTCCTTAAAACTCTATATTTCTTCCCTCTTTTCCTCCTCCTTTCAATCTTTTTCTTTGCTCGTTGAAGCTACCGTTTTTCAACGATCATTCTCCAACGAGGTTTTTTGATCGACGATAGCCGCCCCCTCTCATCCTTCTCTTGGTGACGAGTCCACCTAAATCTAATCCATCCTTTCAATTATTAATTTTTTCAGTTATTTATTTAAGTCAAATAATTTGATTTTTTTTAAAAAAAATTTTGTTTAATTACTTATTATTGCTAGTTTAATTATTGAATTGATTGTTCATTGCATGTGTTTTTTTAACTTGATTATTTAATTAAAATTTATTTGGTGTGTTAATTTAGTGTAAATTGTGATATTAATTGAAATGTTTAATTGTTAATTTAATATTAATTGTTAATTGTTATGTTAATGTTGTTGTTAATTATTGATTAATTGAATATTATTGTTAATTTTTTAATTTTGTGTTATTTTTATTTTAGTTGTTGATTGAATTAATTTGATTGTTAATTGTTAATTTACTTATTTTAATTTATTGTTAATTTTTTTAGTTAGAAAATATAATTGTTATATTTTATTTTATGTTGTTATTTAAATTGTTATTGTTATTGTTATTATAGTGTAGCTACTAATTGTTAATTTACTTAAGTAATTCACAATTTATTGAAAACATTAGTAAGTTTATATATTCCTAGTTTATTAAGTTAAAGCATTAGGTTAGTACAAAATAAATCAATAAATTAAATATTAATTAAATTGTAATATATTGTTATTTTTTTATTAAATATTACGATTATATATTTAGTTGTTCATTTACTTAAATAGATAAGTAATTACAATATTAATTAAGAAAAACATATAGCATTTTTTGGAAATTATTTTGAATAGATAAAAAAATAAAGTGATTAGAAATATTTGTAATTGTTAGTAATTAAATAAATAATTAAGTTGTTTTTTAAAAGCTTTTATGAAATAAATATTAAATAGATAAAAAAAATAAAGTTATTAGAAATACTTGTAATTGTTAGTAATTAAATAAATAATTAAGTTGTATTTAAAAAATTTTCTGAAATAAATATTAAATAGATAAAAAATAAAGTTATTAGAAATATTTGTAATTGTTAGTAATTAAATAAATAATTAAGTTGTATTTAAAACATTTTATGAAATAAATATTAAATAGATAAAAAATAAAGTGATTAGAAATATTTGTAATTGTTAGTAATTAAATAAATAATTAAGTTGTATTTAAAATTTTTTATGAAATAAATATTAAATAGATAAAAAATAAAGTTATTAGAAATATTTGTAATTGTTAGTAATTAAATAAATAAATAAGTTGTTTTTTAAAACATTTTATGAAATAAATATTAAATAGATAAAAAATAAAGTGATTAGAAATATTTGTAATTGTTAGTA